CTATCATGGCAATATCAGATATATCTGACATGTTCTCAGACGGCACTGATCACACTCGCTGGGAAGAGATGCCTTTTTCGCCGATAGTGAGTTGCATGTCCTGTGTGCAGCACACACAACGAATTGCATGTGCATGTCAGATCTCACATGCTAAGAACATCCTTAATTTCAGCTGGGATTACTAGTGACTTGGCACCACGTAGGTACCGCACAACACTGGTCATATCAGCCTCGTCCCACAGTTGCTGGTCTGCTGACATAGCGATGAGCAAGCTGCTGGTCCGCATGCCACAATGATCCTGAGCACCAGCTGTTTGGGCAATGGAAGGAAGGGAGCTACACATGTATAGGAGTGCAGCATGGCAGGACATTGATATCTATGCATAAAAACCTTTTTACGTGCACACTGAAACAAGTATGTGCTGAGTATCTATATAATGACAACAACATCATATATTTTCTATATGGCACTGATTATGTTCTCACATATGATACATGCACAGTCACACAGTATCATTGAAAGTGCTATATCCATGCACGTGTCTGTATATATACCTTATACTGAGACATGCCAACAGAAGTAGGACTGCTTTATGGCACTGAGTCTACTTCGGTATACGACAATCCAGGTGAGACACATTTGCCACACGCAGGCCCCGAATGCCTTCATGCATGTCTGGCAGAAGATCCGCCAAGGCATTGCCAAACTCCGTCGTGTATGTCCTGAGCAAATGTCTTGTTAGCTACAAGCACAAATCCGATCTTATTGAAGCTTTCACTTTGACTAGTCATGAGCTGAGACCAGCTCTGGCTTTGTCGAAGTTGCTTCGTCTTGCCAGTAGACCTGCGGACTCCTTTGGCGTCAACATAGTACTTCGCAACAGGAACCAAGGCAGCTCGCTGAGCCTCAGCATGAAAGGAAAGCATCCAATAAATATGGCACATGCACAGCATGGCACGACATATCCATGTCCCAATCCGACGAGAAACTCTTGAAGGTTTGCCCCGATCCAGCAAGCCTATGTGTGAGGAGTTGGACCACAAACACGTGCTTTTCAGACTGGCACCACCATACATCGCCATGTAAATCTTCTGCTTGAAGACCTGAGCAATGTGCAGTAATGCAAGGACATGCCTGCACTATATAGCTCGTGAACACACACACACACACACACCATGTGACACACTCTCCTTCACAAAGGCACATCATGAGAATGCGTTACATGTACATCTATACACACAGACATTCTATATGGGCAGCATATAACTCACATTGCATGGACACCTGCACACACCTACATGTTTGTATATGTAGAGATATTCATGTACATTGCACAGTGTATATATATATATACATATACGTATGTTCATATATGTCTATAGTGTTATGTATATTATACTACAATGCGAGCATATATATATATATATATGTATATGTCACATGCGTATAATTGTGTTAATAGCAGAGTCACAATGCTGGCAGCTTCGCAGGCTGCCTAAATATGGATCATTAAATGGTTGTGTATGCATAGATATGCATTCATATAAAAAGAACATAAACATGTGATACAAGAGACCAATTCTGTTGCCCCCATCCAACACTGAGCTTTGTCAAGCCACATAACAATACTCCTCGACAAAGACTCTCCAAAAGGGAAGGTCACCGAACTTTGCACTGCCAGGCTGTTCGATAATGAATGTGTGGTTCAGTGCCACGGCCAAGTGCGCCAGCAGAGTGACCCTGACAAGCAGAAAGGAGTTAATCCTAGCAACCAAGATCCTTCCAAACTTCCCAGCAAAGAGACCCGAACATGCTTAAATGCACCTCGCTGCCATGAGGTTTCCTCGGGCCACCCAATCCTTCTCGACATTTCCCAATGGAGCAAACCAATACCTTCCAGAAGCACTACTGCTCATCCAAGAGAAGCTGCTGCAATCTGGAGCCATCAGCAGCACACTCCGAGGAGCCAAACGCAAGACACCCAAGACAGCTAGCCTCCGTCGTAATGTGCAAACATAGACAAACAGCAAGGATTGAGTTAATTGGAAAACCCAGGCAAACTAACAGTTCAGATTAAGTAATTCTGAAACGAATCCAAGGTTCGCATAGCCTGCAGGTGTCAAGAAATCAAAGACTTGGGAATATTTCCTATCCATCTTGAAAGCAGGAAAACCACGTAGCTGCATGGCAGATGTGACATTCGCAGCACCCGCGAAGAGCTCTCCAAAGCGGTAGGCCTGATGCAGAGAGTCAATGGATAGCATACATAAATATCCTATATAGACATGGGTAGAATCAGGAATATATTGTAGATATGCAACACCATAACTTCTTAACATTTGCAGACATTGGCATTTATACATCTACATGTAGACTCAGTCAATCCGAAAACCCATCACCTTGCCTCCATCTGATGCACACGGATTTATCCATAGAATTGTGAACATATGTAACAGTCACTCACCAAAAGCAGATGATTCGAAATAAGCCCTGACACACTACATGTATGTGTTGAGTGAACAGATATTACAGGAGCCCCGACATTCCAAATAACCTTGAATATGTGCATAACCTGTGCTGCTGTAAAGATGTATAGGCTTT